TGATTTGAGACTGGGGGCAATATTATGCATAGCCCTCTCTCTGCATATTTGTTGTGACACAACCAAAGTCTAGAAAAAATGAATGAAATTCCAATCCAAGATGGTTTAATGGGATCATGTGTGTAATGGTATTCAGGCATGCATGTTGTTGCCTATGTTGTGTTATGCACGCATATTTCATCTGCATATGTACATCTCTACTACACACAGATGAATTCGACATCCAACTTGTTTTTGTTATTGAATATGGTTCGCACCACGGAAGAAACCATCAGGAGAATAAGACGAAATTCGAATCCCACCTTATTGCAAATAAACTTACCCTGCATGAGGCAAACTGCGTGAGATGACATGCCATGTATCTCCCTTCTCGCCTTGACAGGTAGTTGGTTAGAGGAGAGAATTTAACAAGATTTTGAGACATATGGTTGAACAATTTTGCAGAACAAAACGAATGTCTAAATTGATTGGGAGACTCCTTTGTCTAATAAATGGCCTCCTTATTACACTCTGCTCCAGAATTGTAAATTTGTTTCTTGCGAAAAAAAATCGTTTAACTCGTATAATAATTTTAACAACCTTTTCCGGAACGGATCATAATTAAATAACGCATCTTGTACCTATGTTTGCATATAATTATTACATGCACGACATTCCTCCCCCTCCTCTAAGTTGCATGCAAGTGACTAAACGCACTTTACTTACGCACTGGCACGTGGTGGTGGTGGAGGTTTAATGACCTGCAAGGTCGAACTCGCATCAAGCAGCTTGTAGTAGTAGTACCATAATATCAACCAGCTACATGCAACTCATGTTATTATACTGTGGGAAGAAGGTGGATGGATGATAAAAATTCAATAGCAAATAGCAGCAGCAGGAGTTGGCAGTGCAATGCATCACATAGCGTTTAGCCTAACTTAGGATAGTGCATTAGATGTTAGCCGTGGTGGAGATACATAGGTGATATTGCTGCAATGCGTCCATGTACACAGTTTAGTTAGTTAGCGATGTTCTTTATTATGCGAGCGAGTCTTAAGGAAGCACGCAGAATTAAGGAAGCACGCAGAATTATTTTATGAGATCAAAAGAAACAGGATGTGTGTGATACAGGAGGACGGGTGCAAGTGCAAATAGACTGATGCGTTCGAGTTATAGTGTTTTCGTCAATAGTTTTTTTGATCTCGTTCTCTAAGCGATTGTGTCTGAATGCATGAAATGACAAGAGTTGAAGAAATCTCTGTGTAACAGGGCTGATTTTTTAAAGTGATCATTTTCCAGACGGTTTGAAGTAGTAATTCATCCGTGTTTTATTAAAATGTTTATTTCTTTGATAGGAATCATCATCATCTCCTGTTTTTTTTAAAGATTGTTGGTTACAGTTCATGGCAAAATTATTTATGTCGCTCGTTTAGAATAGTAGTAGTGGTTGTTATTTAATTTGGTTTTTAGACAAGTGTGCATACATCACGCATCCCTTGCATTGTGCATACCAAGCATGACCTGTCTTCATTCAGTTTGGTAAAAGAAAAAAAATGGTACGGAAATAAAAGTTTAAAATTTAGTATGGCAATGACATCATGGGTTTTTAAGGAACATTTACTTTTATCTGGCAACTATTTAGAGGTTTTTACTCGAATTTAGATGCTGATGATGTGATGAAATGACGTGAGTAAGCAAGCCCAGTAAAAGGTTATATTTTATAGATTTGTATAGGGTTGTTAGTTAGTTAGTTAGTTAGTGATAAATACACCCTCAGTTTGCGTCGGTCTTATCTTGCGTGCAAGTTTTAATGAGAAAGGTGGAATGAGGATGTAGTATCGGAGATAAATAAATGCCAGTTTAAAGTTCATTATCGACATTATCGTCGTCGTCACCATTAAGTAAAATAAAATGGAATCGAACCATTCAACACATGGACCACGACGAGGAGGAGGAAAGGGGGATAAATTGAAATATTTCCAACTCAGCACGCCGTCTTTATTATTAGTCTCTCTCTTTTCCTCTGATGATGGAGGAATGGATGGATGGATGGATGCTGGTGTTAATTTATTGACAAGTGTTATTCGAGTTCAATCAAGTTCGAACATGCATCTACAAGAGAGAGAGAGATAGATACACGGCGGATAAAAAAAGACGAACAACGAGGTGTGGCCAAGTCCAATAAGTTGACCGATTGAGTCACTAAATGAGATTGTGCATTCATCCCTCAAAAGAAAAACATGCATAATAATCGATTATGTATGGACGGCGGAGAAGAAAGTATTTTTATACGGCTCGTTCGCCTTCCTTCCTTCAGAGGATGGAAATGAAATCGTGTGTGGTTGCATATTTCCCTTGGTGTAATTATACGTATTCGACAGATTTTTTTCTGTACCAAGGAATAAGGAACAAAAGGCTCATCCCCAATTTTCTGCAACATAACGACTTCCGTAAAACAAAGAGGGAAGAACAAGAAGCCTAATTGGGATTAAAAGATCAGTTTTCCATTATACTTATTTGTAGTAAATTGCTGCAACTGCTGCTGCTGCCGATGTACATGTGCCGGTTGGTGTGTTCACTGAGTCGCAGTTACTTAGGAGAGGATTCTTCGGTTAAAGAAACTATTGGCATTTCTTTTACTCTTTTACTTTGCACCATCACTAGAATCCCATTGGTTTTTACCGAATTGGTTGGTGTCGTGTCGGCATCGGGCACAAAAAATCGTGCTTTGCGTAAGACGCGTATATGCGTAGAAATAGCGTGAATATGCTGTATTTTATTACCACCATCCTCCTCTCTCCTTTCTTCAATAGGTAGATATCTGCGTAAGATAAGCCATAAGCTGGCTGGAAAGAATCGCTTTGTGCCAAAGAAGCCATGCCAGACCAACTACTTTACTGTCTATGTGGGGATTGGATCGGAAAAATACATTAAACAACTAACTAACTAACTGAACTGCATTTTTCTATCTTCTTTACACAGCTATATTGCTATATACAGACAACTTATCCCTACGCTTGAACTGTATGTGTGCGTACGTATTCTTCATTCACGAAACAGATTATGTACGTAACATAGCTTCTTCTCTCTCTCGAGGGACGCGGATGGGTGGAGGAATGGCACGGCTAAAAAGTCGCATGTAAATATTTGTGAGTGCAGCAGAACCATCATTGGTTAGTCGAAAGATAAAAAAGCTACGCACAATTGTACGCACATTACGACAACGACGGCAGAGGAGCAGAATGAATAGATGGATGGATGGATCCTCTCCCGGTTAACAGATTCAATTCGACATGACATACGAACGCAAAACTATGGTGCGGAGCCCATGTAACAACAAGTTACCAGACTGGGAGGCAGTGTTTTTAAGAGATGGGGAGCATCTCCTACTATCTGCTGACTGAATGTGTATGGATACATGTACAGGTTACGTACGAGAAGAGCTACGTTTACTGAAAAGCTGAATGAAAGAAATAGTTTGAGAAGGAATACATACAAACACTAGTATGTACTACATACATACTACAACAACTTGGGTTATAATACGCAGCTAAGTTAAAAATTCACTATTCACATCATCTCCTTCCTCCTCAGTCATCATCATCACTTGTGCTTGTAAATACGAGAATTTACTTTATGTACAAGCGTTTCCTTTGGTTTAGTCAGTCGGATTCCTTCGCACTTCTTCTTTGCGACGACGACGACCAAGATGTCGAAATACACACGGCATAAAAATCCCATTGCTTTGTCATGAACCTTCAGAGAGAGACGCAAGAATCCTTCCAAACAGAAGGAACTAATCATCAGTGGTGGTAGCACAAATTGTTGTTGTTGTTGAGACGTAAATAGGTAGTGGTGGTGATCATCTGTTGGGTGACGACGACGCTCGTCGACATTAATTTATTGACGCCCGGATTGATAATAAAGTACACGCAGCACCTTTCACGGTGCGACTGATAATTTAATTACTGTGATAATTGGCAAGGATTTATTTTATGGTGGAACAGTGAATAGTATATTTTCTTTATCAAATTGCCTCTTGAAGTATGTAGACGAAGAAGACTTGCAACAACTAACAACAAAAACTCACCTTATATGGCAAAATATTGAGAGAAGCCATGAAGGAAGAAAAGGATATTGGATTGGTTTCTTCACATATGCATTGTTGCTTGGAATTTCTTACTTTGCGAATGAATATCTAATACATATTGAATCATCGATCACCTGTGTGTCCAACAAATAGACAAGAAGAATCTCATGTTATGCAGTCCTTTCTCTGATAGTGCGTAGTATCGAAGAGTTGTACGTAAAATATGTTGTGTTGGTGGTGGTGACGGAATTTCACAAGTTTACATATGTACACTTTAACTTGGTCAATGGTCATAAAGTTTGTTCAACTAAGGATAAATCAGCGTTGTGTAGCCCTCATGTCGTGGAAAGAGTGGTTACTCAAGAACCAAAATAAGGAAGTTTTCCCTTCGAGTTTGACGAGAGGACAATTAAAATTCCACGCAAAATAATAATTACTCAATAATAATAATAATAATATGGGTTGATTATTATAAAAGTCCGTAGCAGCAGCAGTAGCAAACATCAGAGCAAGATTATTATTAATAAGTCTTGGTTGTTGTTTGTTATTATTAGTGGAGGCTGGTGGAGGTGATGTGGAGTGATTTGGCAGAAAGTGCAGAGCAGGATGAGAATGGAATTTGGAAAGTTGTAAGAAGAGTTGTTGGGAAGAGTGGAACGCTGTGTGGTGGTTGTAGTGGTGGTTTTGGTTGATGGTGAAAGTGGTGAAAGTCATCCTGTTTGTGAGGAGGAGAACGTAGGAGAAATGTATCGAAGGGAAACTGAAGAGTCTGATGAGCACAACTGGTTATGGGGATTAGGTCAATAATTAATTTTTTTAATGATTGCGGATGATGGATGATAAAATTTTGATGAGAAATAATAATAGAATGAAATGAATAAATTGATGAAATTGTGAAAGTTAACCGAATTCTGTTTTTGTTTATTTATAGGTCAGAACGAGGAGCAGGAGCTGGTAAGTTTAGTAAATTTGTTTTTAGCACAACTAGTGAAAGTTAGTGATTTTTTAGACGTTTGTGTTTTATTTTTATAATTTTTTATCACCTTCAAGGCCTCCAAGATGCTCCAAATTCAGTCCAAAAGGTTCTATCTGGATGTGAAGGAGAATCCACGAGGGAGGTTCATCAAAGTTGCAGAGATCGGAGCGGACGGTAATAGTTTGATGCATAAATAACGATTCTTTCTTGCTTTCTCCTGCTGACTTTCTCTTTGTTCATTTCATGCTCATTGATGAATTTTTTGTTTTTGCGTGGGTAGGTCGACGAAGTCAGATCTACTTGGCGCTGTCCACAGCGGCCGAGTTTCGTGATCACTTGTCATCATTCAGTGATTTCTACTCCTCCCTGGGTCCGCCCAATCCCGACACAGTTCCTGAAGATGGAAAACTTAAGTCCGAGGTGATGGTTAAGGCCAATGTAAGTCCAGTTTTAAATGATTTTGGCATTATAGCCACCAAATCCATATTACATATATTTTTGCAACTAATTGGCATTTTTTATTACATCTACAGCGGAGATACTATCTTGACCTTAAGGTAACCACATTTATTTATTTATTTACCACGTAGCCCTTAAAAAATTAAACCCTAATTTTGAATAACTTGTAGGAAAATACTCGAGGCAGATTTTTAAGAGTTTCTCAAACAATTTCTCGTGGAGGTCCTAGATCACAGGTAATTAACATGCATATAAACTTTCATTCCTAGCATTACTAAATTATTTACTACTGTCTTTTTCAGATTGCAATTCCAGCTCAAGGTGAGTGAAGCTCAGATGCAGCTCTCTTTACTTAATCCTACTAAATTATTTATCAGACAATAACTATGCAGTACTTACATAGGTCCTTAGTTTAAATGTACTGATTAATAATTTATTTTCTTCCTCCGTTTCAATTTTTATAAACTATACTGCCCTCAACGTCATCACTCCTATATCTCATTACTAATAGCAATGTTTCATACTCCAGGAATGATAGAATTTCGAGACGCATTAACCGACCTGTTAGAAGAGTTTGGGACCGAAGACGGCGGTTTTCGAGGCGAGCTACCGGAGGGGAGGCATATTCGCGTTGATAACAAGGTGAGTACAAGTGATAATAATCCGCTGTTTATGCATTACATATTTCTTAACGTGTGTGTAATTTCATTTAATTTATATATTTTATGACATATGCAGATATTCTATTTCGACATTGGACAAAACAATCGCGGCGTCTTCATGAGGATATCGGAAGTAAGTGTATCTATACTTCTTTTAGTACGCATTTTGCGGTGGCTGTTACAAGAATTTGAATAAGTATACGCATTTTTCAACACTGCATTAATTGCTTAGTTTGTTGTAATACAGACAATAAACACGCAACGGCACGCAAATGTTGGTTACTTAACTAAACAGGATGACTCGCTTTCTATTATTTTAACTATACCGTTGTTTTTATAGCTGATTTTCTCTTATTTATTTACTATACACTATGCCAGATCGTGCACCCAGCAGTTAAATCTTCTCGCGAGATTGGAATGCAGTGTTTTATATGTGCACATTCCATTCTCACTCCATTCACATCTACACACCAAAATCTTTCAGACTTCTTCATCCGGGTTTAGCAGCATGAAACGAATCGCATCTCCTTCTCTCTCTCTCTCTCTCGCTTATTGCAACAGGCTGACTTCTTCTTCTCTTAATACCTCGTGTCGAGTTTGAAACTTTGAAATCCATTTGCATAATTTATTCTGAAGCTTGTCCTCTCCGTCCTTTGTTTATGCTTCTGGTTGAGAATTCCAGATTTCGAGCCAGTATCTATCTGTCATGCTCTTACAACAATATCAACAATACACAACTAATCAACCACCCAATGCACGCACGGGCTGTTGCACAGCTCAAGTAATATGAAATTATTTATGTGCAATAATAATGAAATGGCTTTATTTCTTTCCCAGGTGAAGACAAATTTCAGGAACGCTATAACAATTCCTGAAAAGTCATGGTCTCGATTCCGCGATATTTTTGGAGACTACGTCGATAAGATGAAGGAGAGTGGGGGTGGAGGTAGCGGTAGTGCGGCGGGACCTTCCTCTTCCAGTGTTTCGGATATTCCTCCACCTCCTACGTCGTCCACTACTGCCACAACGTCGTCAGACCGAGAACGCGACCCGCCCAACAAATAATTAGCGTAACTTGGATAGACCACCTCCTGATCTAGCCATTTTTCATTCAATCAATTTAACTACTAAATCCTACCGTAACTGTAACTAGCCGTAATAAGATTAGGTTATTATATATTATGAAAATCAGTACTCCACAACGAGTTATATAGGCGAGTTGTCGGGAAAGGAGGAAAGTGTACGTGTATGTACCTTCAATTTGATATATACATATTTATATCGATCTACATACATACACTTCAATCAAATTAGAGACAATTATTGTTGTTGTAAATTGAAACTCTGTTAAAAGTAAGAGTCTTTTGAATGTTAAATTTATCCAATTTGTTATGTTCATCATGAAAATTGCTACTCAAATTGGCTCTTCTACTAATTCATTTGCAACTTCTTCTGCACCGAGAGTTTTGTTAACTAAAGTACTTTAAAATTGTGAAACCACACCCAAGCCTGCAGCAAATAACTAAATGGAACTACTATACCAACATAGTCTTGATATAGCTTTAATAGCAACAACTCATTTTAATTTGTACAGCAAACCCAACGAGAACAAGGAAGAAGAGGAACATGTATTACATAAATTGCATGCTAGTGACTGCGACTGAGAGGTGCGTGTTATAAGAATTAGTTGAGCATAGTGTTCAAGCATATTTGTTCAAGTCCTTTTTGTTAATCCATTGTTCCAATTAATTATTATTTACGTTCAACAATCCACTTAAAAATTTGTTTTTAAATGCTACGTGGTTTTCTACATACTAATATCGATTATTTTTTATTTTTTAGTTAAAAAACCAGTACCGTTTAAAAAAAATTAAAAAAATGGACTGGAGATGAAAGGCAAACCAAAACTTTACCATTAATGTTATTATAACAGACCGACACATACATACACGGAACAACAATATTGTGCTAGTTCATTGTTCTAACTCAGTTTAGAATTTATAACAGAATTAGCTAGACGTGTTTTATATCATATTAACAATAAATTGATGCATGTATGTACATAATTAGTCGACATTAAATAATCTGTAAATATATAAAAATCGATTTCAAAAACTATGCTAAAACTGCGTAGAGAGAACGAGGAGGCAGAAAAGTCTATTAAGCATTTAAAGAAATATATTATACATAATATATAAATACATATATCTCGATAGGCAAATGCTAATAGTGCGAACTCGTGCGATGAGACCATACACCTTTAGCCACAAATAATATTTGCACTTTTACATATGGACGAGACGTAGCGACTTTTACATGTAAAATAAAAGTTGTTAATTCCCTCCGATATTATAACGTGCAAATGAATTTGTTGCAAAATGATGATGATCTCGTCTTCGGTTGGTACTAAAAATTAATGTGATTCATTGAGTAGAGAAATATTAAATATTATTGGGTCGACGAACTATTAAGCGTTAGTAAGAAAAAAAGTAATCCAATTTATCATCAAAGGTTTAATAATTTAAAAAAATGACTACAACGTTGTTGTTTCTCCTCTCTTGTGTCTTGTGCTTCTTGATTACTAAATAACGGTTTTTTAAAATGATGATATGCATCAGTATAAAAATCTAAATATATATATCACGTCTAAAATTAGAACAATATTTGATTTTAAAAGGTTGGAACATTTTTATTAAAGATTACGAAATTTAATTAATTAATTTAACTTGTTCATTATGTGCACTATACTAACGGAAAATCATTTTATCCTTCTTCCTAATAATTTAAAAAAATGAGAAATAATATTTTTGTTGATTATTAGTTTGCCAGCCACGCCACAGTTGAAAGCTATTGAAATTGAAGGTGCTTTAGAATGCTATAATATTTAAAAATGTTAACATTCGAAAGTTACTACTATTCATGATGTATTTCCATTACAGATATATTTACTGTATTACTACTATAAATCTAAAATTATGCATACATAATATAAAATAAGCTACTGCATATGTACTACCTTATTCTATTCTCAATTAGAAGTCTGAGAACTGAGTTATTAATGAATTATTATAAATCCGCCGCCAGGGGTTTAATTATCCAGTTTAATTTAATTACTTAATTTTATAGTTATTACTTTTTAAGGAATAAAATGTCTAGAATGTAGAGATTTATTAACGTTCTGCCGATCTGTCAAAGAGAGAGAGAGAGCAAAAGGGGACATGGGGATGAAAGGAGAGAAACCAGCAATCACTGCAAGTAAATTTTAGAAATGGGTTAGATTTTTGGATCGTTCTCAAACGTCCAAGTCTATAAAAGCGAAAAGCTAACCTTATAAAATAAGTAAGTAACCGAGAGGGTATAAGGTTAGATAGATGCTATAATAGTGATGAGGTAAGCATAAGTAAGAAAAAAATGATAAGCCACACATAGATTGTTTCTGTTTGATAAGCCATGCGTACCTATTGTAGCTAAAAAAAATGAAACTGAAGCCCAGTCCATATTTAGAGATCAGCAGTGATGTGTTGGTTGGTTGGTTGGTTGATGTGTGTGTAAAGGAAAAGAGAATAGATAGCAAAAGAATTATGTGACGGAGTAATGAATGAGAATGATTTTTTTCAGAATTTATAACAAAATCAAAATTTGTTGGTTATATCAGGATTCGAAAGTTAATCGGATATTTAATTGGTCATTGTTTTTGTGTAAATGAATGATGAATGTGATGTGAGGATTCTTTAAGTCGGAACTGGTTCGGTATGATACAAAATGCAATTTGACAAATGATTTTTTTGTTGACTTTGTTTGACTGTTATTATAAACTTGTGTTTTTTGTTAACAATAAACTGACAGAAAGAGAAGGAGAAGAAAAGAAGTTGTGATTTTAGGAGGATGTGATTTTATTTCATTTATTTCATTTATTTTTTTGCTTTTCAGTATATGTAGAATGAATGCATAATTAACTGTTATTTTAGGACCAAGAAATAGAAATATTTAGTAGTAAATAATTTGCAAAAACACAGAATTTCTTTTCCAAATTTCTCACCAATATTCGACAAGTGTATAAATCAATCAATCCAATATGTATGTATAACCATCAAAGAATCAATACACCACTGCCAAATACAGTCTGAGAAGGTTGAGCAATCGAAGAACTTTCCATTTAATAGAACAACTACATAACTACCTTATTTCATTTAATAATCCAGTTAAAATGTCAATCAGTAAAAAAAATGTACTCGTTATTTATGCTACTGCCATTCCAGAGAATCGATACGTTTACATAATTAAATTGCATTGCAGGCTGACACTAGAAAAAAACATAATGGCCTTAAAAAATAAATGCAGTTTAAGATTCTGCTTTTCTAATTTACATAAATACATACATAACATGTAAATCCAGTCCAGTTCCATCATCGATTCAATACTATAATCGCACTACTTCGATTTATAGGACTTTATGCAAATGAAATAATATTTAAAAATATAACTGCCATTTGTTATGTTCAGGTCTCTTAAATCTCATATAAAATATGCAAAGGGTTATTAATTTGCTGAAAATATGATCTTCATTCTTCACACCAAACCAAAAACCAACATCAATTTACGGACTGATTTAAGGCGAATATTTGTCAATTTTTTTAGTAGAATGCGATTAAATGCAAGCGGTGCGTGTGTGTGTTTGCGCGTGAGAGTGCATATTATAATGACGATTTACATGATTAAAGGACCATGAATTCTTAACGATTTACATTAGCGACACATTTTTGCTTTTAAAATACTCCAACACCAAACCCCAATTAATTAAGTCTTCGTATGTGTAAACACTAGACTAAATTTGACAATGGTGCTATCTAAATAAGTAAAATTATGTACATACTGTGGAGAAATTAATGAACGCTGGTAAACGTAAATATAAATTACTTAATGGCAAGTCGTGATAAAATGATTGATTCAGTGAATTGATAGTGATACTAATAATTAATCGAGCATGAATCTAATTGAGTATTAAATTCTACCAATCAATTCAATATTAATTTTACTTGGTGGTGTGCAAGCAAAATGTTGATAAGTATGCGAGTCCTTCTTTTTAATAACCTTAAAGAAAAAAGAATCAGGAATGTCGGTTAAGAAAAGTAAAATAAATATTCGAAAATCTTATAATTAACATTCACAAGAAAGTATTGGTTTGTTCGACAGAGTTCGCTAAGTCATTTCACTAATGGTACGTATTGCTAATGGGGAATTATTATTGTGCATATTAAGTATTTTGACTTTTCATTATTCATTCGTAGAAGGCGTGTAAAAATTATACATACATCATTTTCCTAGTTTTTTGAAAATTTCACAGTATGTAATTTCATGCAACTTAATTAAGCAGCTGCAATGCATACGTATTTCCCTTGGTGGAATTATGCATTTATTTTGTAATTTGTTAAGAAATATCGAATTAAGAGTTAAAAATATGTATCAACTAGACGTGGGGCACTGCCATATTGCGTGGATGAGATATATGCATGCATGTTATGCAAATATGGATGCGTGGTTAACAAATAACGGTTTAACGTATACATTTCGAAGATAAGAAAAACATATAAATCAGCAGAAACAGAGTTATTAAATGTCGACCACACCAAAACGAATCCCATAATCAATCTTTGTAAAATTATGATTTATTCCAACTGTTTGTATGTAGTCTTCAGTAAGAAAAGTGATAAAAAGTAAACATTTGTCCATTTTCACATTTTAGGCGTGATCCATAAATAATGGAAATTTTTCAGACCATCCACCTCCTCCTCCTCCTCCTTGTCACGGGTTACACCCACTTTTAACATGTGGCGCAAATGGAGCCGACACGTGAAACGCTAATCCACCCTCTCTTCCATGACATCATTTATGGATCACGCTTTAATACCACCCACGAAATAAATCAGAATCAATCCAAGCTATTAACTCATACAAGGCAAATTTTCACACCTGTTAATGGCTAGGATATTTAGGTACATACTTAAATAATCTTGCCATACATACATACATACATACATACATATATCTAGTTTATTAATTTAGTCTTAAGTACGTAAAAACATCTACATATTATTATTAAGACGTACTTTTGGGAATGAAAAATTAATAATTACGATGATGATGATGAGTGAAAATGGAAAAAAATAAATAGTTAAGTATTAAAATGTGTGAGAATTCAAAAAGAATTATTATGACGATGATAAATATATAAACGAGAAATAAATGAATGAAAAACACTAGCAAAAATCAGTTTCAGTTATCTTTTATTTAATGCATTCAATTTTCATCGCCGGTTACATCAATTTTTGGAATACTGAATGGTGAAAGTGGAGAAAGTAGAGAAAGCATGCATACATTATTAGAAAGTTGGAATTTTGAGTAATGTTTCCAATTCGGGCCTCGTGATTAGTTAATATTATTGTCCAACTTGGCATGCATTATAAATAATAGATAATTTTGGTGATAAAAATATGAAAAAAATAATATTTAGAAATTTCTAAAATCGCAATTTGTCACCCAATTAAACAGCTCATTTACTAAAGACATAGAGTTGAGAACTTTGAGAACTTTAAACTTCTCAGCGTGTTATGAAATGAGACCTCGCAAAAGTCGGCACTCTGCTGAAAGAAACGACAAAATAATAATTCACCTTCTTTCTCCTAGTTTAACTTTTAAATATTCTACTAAATACGTAACCATCCTTTAAGTAAAAGGATGCTCGGTTTGGGGGTGGGGCTCGGTGGTGGGGATAGCGTCGGAGTAGCTGGGGCCGGTTTTCGTGAGATTTTGGTCGACCAACCCTTCTCAGGAAAATGGATGGACGTGGATATGAATTTAGGTAAAGTTAAAAATAAATTATCCATAACTAATTATTCTTTGTAGTAATTATGGTTGTCTTTATTATATAACTTTATTATGCCTACTGCTCAGGGGGTGGTCACTACACGTTTCAAGGAACAAAATTCTCTGATTGGGCGGGTGGGTTTTCCTACAAGAATAATAATGCATCCTCCGCAAAGGCGTCTACCAAGGGCGTCACGGCGTATAGAAGTATTCATTGGTAAGCCTGCTAAGTTGTTTCAGAGGAAGAATTAATTAATGCGCTATGCTACAATCTAGAAAATTTAATGTGTATTAGGCGAACACTCAACGACACATTGGAACTTTGCGAAATTTCGCTCCACCTTAACCTGATTGATAACCAGGTGCGCTACATATTCCAAGGATCTCCAATCGTGGGTCCAATCACGATTCAAGAAACGGAAACCAATGTCATCATCCTCGTGGCTACGCTGACCTCTGTGAACCGGTTTGTATTCGTACATCCAAATCGTATAGCCGCTGGCGTCGACGTAGACAAAAACCGTTCAATATTTCATCAAATCACTAACCCACCTGTGATGAATTTCCGCTCTTTCAACCTCTATGAGCACGCGATGAGTAAGCAAATGCAATTCATTTATAATTATTAAATAAGTAAGCTGATTATCTTCCCAATATTCAGACATTCCTGTTCCTCTGTCTGCCACCTGCGCCTACGTTGGAGGAGTGACCCATTCTCGCTCCAGATTTTCCAAGGAACTGACCTTAACTCCCACTCTCGTTGGGGGTGAGTGTTTGTTCGCCTACTCCTTCGAGTCAGGGAGCATCAATGTGTACAAAATTTCGAAAGATGACATCCTCACCAGGTACGATTTAAGGCAGGCGAACATCTTTACGAGGCTGTTTTCCGGGTTAACGACGTCGATCATGCGGTAATTATTACGAGTATTATGCATTTGATATTTTTCGTCGCTTAATGAGTGATTAAAAGGGCACTAACTTATAGTTGCAAATATTTGTTGCAGGACACCTACTACCATTCTGGACGCTGTGATTGGACTCTCATTCTTCTTCTCGACGTCGAAAGGAATTATAACTACTCACATCGTCACACTCGCAATGAATGGACAATTAAACCTCTGGTCGTGCCCCAATCTTGATAATTTTACAGAGTGGAACTCTTACCATTGCGGTGTGGTGGATAATCGATTCGCAGTAGATAGTCATATCGGTAATAAAAATTGTAATTAGTTTAACTATAGTGAATTTGACTGTAAACAAATTGTATTTAGATTCGTGTATGCTCCTTCGTAAAAGCGATGATGTTGATCACCCGTCGTTTGCCATTCACATCCCGGGAGATGGTTTCCGCCTTTACAAATTGCAAAAGCTCGCTGGAACTGCTAGTACGGGTCAGGGAGGAAATGCATTGTCACAAAGTTCGCCTAAATTCCAGCTCGTTATGAAACAACGGATCGAGTTTGTCGTAAGTTTTGTTGGCCATCATTATCAATTTTATTATTTAAATGTTAATTAATTTAATTAATTACAAATTGCCATTCATACCATTTTTAGGACCGTGACGTAATGGACTTTTGTCTCACCTCTGATCACATTTTCACCCTCGTCAATAACCCTGATGAGGAGATGGAATGGGCTATAAATTCATATCGATTGGATGAGCCAAACTCGTCGTCCCGTAAGAACCATCCTTCATTCACATCAGCCTTGCTGGAACCACTCCCTGCCCCTGACCCGGAACCAAACACTGAGGCGAAGGAGTTTTACATGTCGCTCATATTTAATAATTCGTCCTTCACGGCAACAACGATTATGAAAGCTCTCACGGTATAAGCACTACAGTGCACAGATTAACTGTGATGTAGAGTTGCGATTAGCTAATTATCTTTAATTATTTCAATTGCTAGATGTTCCGTAAAGATGAAGATAAACCGATTCGTCCCGATATAGATTGGGACTCACTCCGCATTACTGCTATGAACACAATTGATCGAGAAATCGCTCTAGCCACTTCCGACACCGAGTTTGATATCAGTGACGAAGATTATACTGAATTAAGCCTCAAATTTTGGGGGATGTTTTACAATTCTTGTGTAGAGTATCACATCGTAAGTGGATGGATATCTTACTTATTTATGTGTTGATTAAAAAAGTTAATTAACAATTTTGAATCTCTTTTATCAGCACACTGTGAAACCACTGGGACTCTTCTTTGAGTCAAATTCCAACATGGTCTGTGTGGTAAAGAAAAGTCGGATCTCGTTCCTGCGCCCAACTTCGTTTTTGGAGACACTTTACTATTTCCCCCACACTCTGAATCTGTCCACCTCCCACGCCCATCCAGAATCGGATGAATACGACGAATTCCGCAAGGACCTTGTTTCCGTCACGAGATATTTGGGCATTGTCAAGTCCTTGGAAGATATCTTTAACGACAGCCACATCTCCAAGATAGAAAAACAGCTGCGGCAGAATATTTCTCAGTTGCAAGACGTTTGTAAAGAAATTGCTAATTTTCTTCTATCGACTGATCCACATTGTTTCGCGACGGTAGATACAAAAACGAAACGTTTAAATTTCGAGCAAGAGAATTTATTTGATAAATAACTTGTTGAAAATGTCATAGGTTGAACGTCAACTCGTGCAAGTTCTTTGCAGCAAGTTACAGCAACTTGGTGGCAATGCGGAAATCGCGATGAAAAAGACGCTGGATTTGATCTCATCTTGGGACCAGGGAGACAGTGCTGGTGAGGACGATGACGATGCATCGACATTTTACATGGGGTCACGTCTTGGGGTCCATGTCACGCATCGGATTTTACAGCAGTTGATGCAACACAAGTAATCATCTTATTGATCTCATAAGTGTGACAGAGGTTTTCATCCCTTGTGACTAAAATTATGGCTGGTTTTCAACAGATTTATGATTGCGCGTGATACGATTGTGTTACAATATATGGTGACAGCATTCTTCGCATCTCGAGACGATACGGAATTAGGGGGAGGCGATGGAGATAATAACTCACTTGCGGTACCATGGAGTGATCAAGAGGACGCGAAATGGACCACAGCGGCTTATTTTGCCTTAATGGATGTGACAGAAACTTATATTGAGAGAGTTCCTGATTTTGTGAGGGAGCGTGGCCTTAAAGTGGCGAATATTCTAAAACTGGCAACATCTTCGGATTCATCTACTAGAGGAGGAGGAGGAGGTGACGACTTTGATGCTTTTTGGCCAATCAAATTGCTCGAGGGATTTTGTCTTTCGTCCGTTGGTTCGCACGCTATCCGGGCTCGATTAAGTTTGTCGTCGGGCGGCGGATGTAGTGTACTGGCACATGCAGAAGCGACGGGAAGATGCATGTGGGTCAAAGAAATATATATAAAGTTATCTATTTAGTTGAGTATGACTAATCATAATTCATTGCAATTTGGACTTGCAGATGGACAAACAGTTTCCAAGATAATACTCGCCCTATGGAGGATTATCTCATTGTTTCGTGTCAGTACAACATTCTGAAGACATATGCAAACTTTATGGTCCACTATTTCTCCAATAATAAAGCCCACATGAGTGCGTACTTACATTAAAATTGGCACACTATTGCCAAATTAATGATTAGTAATTTTGCTAATTAATTACTGAATTTGCAGAAGACTTCTACCTCGGGCTCTCAAACCTGTGCCTCTTCAATGAAGACGTCGGTATCGCCCACTTGTGCAGTATAAATTTGAAGTCTGCCGTCTTAGACGAGTACTTTTGCTCTCGCGTGCTCCAGCTTGATCTACCGATCGAGGGAGCGATTTCCCTCTTTAATTCGTACTATGTCAGAGTAATCTCGATTCTGCAGGTGAAAAAGAGCTTTTAGTTGGTTGAGAATGACAAGCAAAATATATATTAATTCCTATTTTATGTTTCTAATCTGCAGGTGTTGGAATATTTGCAAGGAGTCCGACGCATGGCCATGGAAGGATTTCATGCCGCTGCGACGGAAGAGGAAGCCATTAAAATGTGTACACTCGCTTTTAAATGTGCCATTCAATTGGACGACTACAATGAGGCGTATGACTACGTTATGAAAGTAAGTACTTTTAGTGCCGCTAAAATTCTTGAGGACAATACGACACTTTAATTGTAATGCATGTCCGTCATATTTAATTTCAGATACCCACTACGGCGGAGTCTGGTTCTCAAGAGAAACTTGCATCCCTTCGCACATTTATTGGTCATTTGGTACGGAAGGGGGAAATGGACACGCTTCTGGGTCTTTCTATGGACGAATTGTTCAACAAGAGCTCCTCCATTCGGGAGCAGATTGAAGGTATCCTCTTCGCCCAGGCGAATCTGGCCGATCCGCTCGAACCTGTGGGAGCGTATCAAATGCTGTACGTTTTCCACCTGGCAAACGATCACTTTCACAAAGGTGAGAGTATAAAGTTTATTTATTTTTGTTCTGAAACTATTGCCTGATGAAGTTTGCGGTTAGCATACCAAAGCTCGGGAAGAACAAATATCTCAAAAATATATCTTCTGCAGTACTATTCAAACCAATAATATATATAATTTATTGTAAATAATTTCGAAGTGTGTTTTGCATGATTTGCTTAATTTTTCTTCTTCAGCCGCGTCGACGATGTACTACAAAGCGATGCGGATTGGTGACAAGTGTACTGGTCGGGACGCCCTTCTCGCCCAAAAGGCATGCTACCTAGATGTGATGACGTGTCTCTCACTTGTGACTCCAACAGATTGTCGATTTGTAGTAAAAAAGACAGGAATTATTCGAGATGTTTTGAAAGAAGTTAAGTGTTTCAATCCAGAACAAGGAGGCAACGCGGAAGAGGTGAGCAAGTCAATAATATAAATATGTATGTATGTGTGGGAATAAATGTTTGTTCATTGAAATTATGTATGATGATTGTGTATGATCATTTAGGCATTAACGGTCCCCTGCGTTCCATGGGAGAGGGAACTCGTGGTGGTAGAAATGACCGAAATACGAAAAGAGATGTTCGTTCTTATCATGTTGGCCGAATTGGAAGACGATACTCCAGTCAAACCGATGGGTACGGCATCTTTAAACTATTTTGAAATTACGGATATCTTTTCATATTCATTTTATTTTGGTTTTCAGACTTTGAACGCCGTGCGGCTCGGACCGTCGACATGCTTAGGCTTTGTCACCAATATGACGATGCTTTTAAATTAGCCTTTCTCTGGGGGATTGACCCAACTCCAATCATCTCATATTTTACAGATGTCTGTTGCAACCTAGTCCACAACGTGATGCCCAAAGGGGGAGATCCTGGCGTATATTTTCGCCATGTGGATACTTCTGGTTGAGCCTTTTTGAGATAATTTACCTTCAGTTTTGTAGCTGAATTTTAACGTTCCTTTTTATCTTACAGATCTTGCCAGTTCATCAGAAACGAGCTACACCGAGTTGGGGTTCCGCCTCCTGGAAAAATATCTAAATCAAGAGGAAAAGCCGAGAGAGTCCTGTCTGCATAACGCCATCACACTCAAACTGCTTATGGCTGACGTAGAGTTGCCACAGTGGTTGGTGGCATCTTACAAGGTGGGTATTAGGGCATCAGTTTCATAGAACGTTTTAATTATCTACGTGTATTCCCATGTTGTCTTATATTCCTGATTTATTTCATTGTGTTCAGAAAAGGAATGTGGCACAGCTTCTGCGTTGCCTGATTCGTTACTCTGAATGGGAGAAGGCTGCAGAGCTCGCGTTAAAAATATTGGATGCCGCCCTCGGTCGTGTCAAGTGCGACGAGTTTGATTCCACCGTTAAAAAGATATCTTCGTATGACACCATCGAACCGTCTGGGCTACCTTTAAATTATATCAGTGATCTCTCTGGAGCATTAAAGGAGTACGGTAAAGGGAACCCAAGTCTGATTGAGGTATGCATACATACAATTACTGAACGTGTTGATATTTTGTGTACTTGCGGGTACTTATTAATCTGACCATATTTTGTCTTGTCCAGTTACATGGAACTCTTACTGAGAGAGCGTCCCTATTTTGTGATCGTGTCATTGCCTGTACGAATGAGCGGAAAATCATGTTTGCGATCGATCGGAAATGAAAACAAGAAGTATAAAGCTTTGATGATGATGAAATAACAATAATAATATTGTGTGTATAATAATTTTCATGTATTGTCCCTGAGTTAATTTGTTTCCTATTACTGCACTTACTTATCTTTCGTAGAGACTAATTTTAATGGTCTGGACATTTTGTCGAATTTTGTACATTTATAATAATAAAGTTGTGTATCTTGTATCTAACTATTCTTATTTTGAAGATATTTTGTATATGATGAATTATATGTATGTAGTGCCAATAATAACTAAATATTATGATAATGAGATTTTCATAATATTAAATTTAAGTCATTATTATTATTGTCTTTTTATTGGTCCACGATATAAATTCATAAATATTTTTCGACTGCACTACAAAACTCTGATAACGTGAACAATCAGAGCAACCTTGGGAGATAAGCACTAACAATGCAAGTCTTTTATGTGTACAACTCAGATCTGGTTGGGGCCAATTTTATTTTGTTCATCACAAAAAATAAGCATGCCCGTATTTTTTCATTTTTCATAATGCGCTAATTTGTGCGCATGGCGCGAATTTTAAAACATTTTTCAGCCAAAACCTCACTTTTTGAAAATTCTGTAAATTTTCGAATTTTAGCGCGAATCCAAAAATTCGAAAACATCTCTTCAGAATGACTTACTTGACTTGTAAAAAATCCACATGCATTATTTTTTGAAAAATAAAAATTTGAAAGAGTTTGTAATTTTAATGAATGTCAAAAACTGGCAAAAAATTTTGAAATTAAAACTTCGAGACAATTGGATTTTTCATAAGTCAGATAAGTCATTCTGAAGAGACATGTTTTCGAATTTTTGAATTCGCAAGGTGATGGCGAAAACAAGGTGATGACGATGAGTGACCTTGCGACATGTCGATAACACCAAAAAGAAGTCTCTGTCGAAGTTTGATGCAAATCGGACGAAAAATGGCGAAGTTATGGCATGGCGACGAAATTGGGCGAAAACAAGGTGGTGGCGATGAGTGTGACCTTGCGACATGTCGATAACACCAAAAAGAAGTCTCTGTCGAAGTTTGATGCAAATCGGACGAAAAATGGCGAAGTTATGGCATGGCGACGAAATTGGGCGAAAACAAGGTGGTGGCGATGAGTGTGACCTTGCGACATGTCGATAACACCAAAAAGAAGTCTCTGTCGAAGTTTGATGCAAATCGGACGAAAAATGGCGAAGTTATGGCATGGCGACGAAATTTGGCGAAAACAAGGTGGTGGCGATGAGTGTGACCTCGCGACATGTCAACAACACCAAAAAGAATTGTTGTGCGAAATTTCATGCAAATCGGACGAGAAATGGCGAAATTATGGCATGGCGACGAAATTTGGCGAAAACAAGGTGGTGGCGGTAGGTGGAGCATTGCGACATGTCGACTACACCAATAAGAAGTCTCTGTCGAAATTAGATGGGAATCGGACGAGAAATGGCGAAATTATGGCATGGCGACGAAATTTGGCGAAAACAAGGTGGTGGCGGTAGGTGGAGCATTGCGACATGTCGACAACACCAATAAGAAGTCTCTGTCGAAATTTCATGCAAATCGGACGAGAAATGGCGAAATTATGGCATGGCGACAAAGGTTGTCGCCATGCCATGCATTTATAAGGGGGGGGGAGCTGTTGGCCGCCCTGAGAAGGGCGTTTCCAGAGCACACGACAAGGACGTCGCTCCCTCGTGCTCTACGCGGGCGGGCCCCCACTCGCGCCCTGAGGCGCAAGGGGGGTCTACCTCCACCGACCGGGAAAGCCCTGCCCACGTCACCGCCCCTGCAACCGCGTTCCCCTAGGGGGCCCGTCTGACCCTCGCCTTACGAGGTGGGAGCGCACCCGTAAATCGGCCCCCATTAAGGCTTCGAACTCGAGAACCCGGTCGGCCCCAAGGGGAGGTATCGCTAAAGAGCGGCGTCACCCAAGGGTTGGAGGTAGAGAGCCCCTCTCACTTGCCAAGCGCCACCCGCACTTTTGGCAAGCCCCGCCGGCTCCCCACCCGGTGAGCCTGCTTGGTGGGAGGAGCATTGGAGGGGGGACCTTCCCGTAAGGCTCTCCCCTTGCAGCGTTGCTCCCCCGGACCACCCCTCCAACGGGAAGAGAGTCGGGGCTGTGGGACAAACCACGGGTGGACCCGACTCCCCAGAGAGGCAGGGCGGCCCAAGGGCGCAGCTGCAATGGGGAGCTCACCCAGGGACACGTCCCCCACGAGCGCCTCCCGCAGACTGACAAAAATTTCTGGTGCAGCTCCTTTTATACCCTCTGGAGGGCGGTGAAAGTTCTGCTATAAATAGCACCCGGTGAAAGTTCTGCTATTAATAGCACCCGGTGAAAGTTCTGCTATTAATAGCACCCGGTGAAAGTTCTGCTATTAATAGCACCTGCGATAAGCGGCCTCACATGTTCCGTGTTTACAATTGTTACAAATAATTCATCATTAATAATTTATTGTTTCAACGTTGTTGAGGTTGGGTAAATGTCGATTCTTATAGTTTTTTGGTCGCTGATTTCGAATCTGAGGTCAGTTTTTCGATTGCGACATCATGGGAAGGGACACAGGGCCAATTAATTATGTTCAAATAACATGTAAAATTATAAAGCTGCAAATATAAGGCTGGGTTTGGTAGTAATTTATGAATAAATTAAAAGTTGACATAAATTCATGTACTAAAAGAGTTACGACAGAGTTACTAGTACTCATGTACTAGTAACTCTGTCAATCAGAGAGTGAAACGTTTGGGAATCCATCACTACTGCCAGTATGCACGATTAATTGACACCGTTTCTATGGGGTGGTGCCCCATAGAAAGATAGAAAATAATATTGGCCACTATGTGATAATTTTTGTAATAATCTACATGCCAACTGCAACTTCGTCTCTTCACAGTCTTCACGATGCTTACTTCGACACGATTAACTGACATCGTTTCTATGGGCGGTGCCCCATACGGTTGCGACAAATGAATTATTTTGAAAAAAAAACTCACTTTTTAATCTTTGGGGCAAAAGTCCTTTCGTTTGCCCCAAGTCCAAAAATACATGGAAAATTAATCTTTTAGCAAGAGAAAAATCTTTCTTTCGACTTTCTCCAGTAAAATATTTCTTTCAAAAAATTAATAATGGTTAAATGTGAGGTAGTCGGGTGCATAAACACTCGTGGTATGCAGGACATACTATTCCATCGCTTTCATCGCGAATCAGAGGGAGGCCTCTGATTCGCCTCTCTTCACTGAATGGAATAAATTATGCGGAAGAAATAATTGTGGAATAAAGGACAAACGAATCTGCAGTAATCATTTCCAGCCTTATGACTACAGTACGACGAGCCGGCGTCTCCTGTATAGTGCCTTACCTTCCCTAAACCTTCCACCAAGTAAAAATAATATGACAAGTAATATTTATTTTGCACGACTGATGACATGCATGTATGTATATATTTAGAAAGCACTCACAATATTGATATTACCCTCAGTCCTCGCAGTGTCAACTCTACGTTCTTTGTAAAAATTGATGGAAAAATTCTAAATTTGAGGTTGGTCTAAGCCTGAGAACGACAAATGGGATGAAGTTTTTAATGTCACAAATAGTAGTCATTGGGAGATTCAACTGGAAAATGTTTCAAACCGATGTTAGAAGTTTTTGGGAGTCCAATTCAATCACTGTATTAACAGCACCAGGATTACGTAAAACTTGCAGCGGGGGGTTGTGGTATGGTTCATTTACATAATCCTTGTGGTTTCACATCACGAAAATGGGATCAATAAGATGAAGGTGTTGAACGTTCTTTTTATAATTTATTAAATGAACATGTATACTACAACAAAATCTCTTATTTTATATTTATTGCTCATTACAGACCACAAGGATCACGTAAATGGACCATACCACAACCCCCCGCTGCAAGTTTTACGTAATTCACTCAATAATAATTTGCATTTCTCAGAAATAAAGTGATCTCCCTTTTGTTTTAACTTAATCAGATTGATAGTGAATTTATTGCTAATTTATCTATTAATATACTATTGATCTAGTTATGCATCATGTCTCAAACACAAAATCAACCTCTGCAAATTTGCATCGCGTCACTCCCATTTTTTCCGTAAATTTATATTCACATCAGCACGATATCGTAAAATATAACGCCAAGAATTTTCTGCCCCAGTCACCAATGACGAATTCATTAAGTTTTTAAGTTTTTCAAAAATGAAAATTTGTGTTGGAAACAATTCATTTGTCGTAACATGTATAGAATGATAAAGTGTCAAATAATATTGTTACTTCGACGATGAAAAAACTTCAATTTTTGAAAACCCTGGTACCTTTTTTTGGAACCAGTGTGCACTAACATTTCGTTCCCACGAATTAATTTTTTAACCATGGATACAAGAATCAGTGCAGTTGTAAATGTGAAATCGGCTATTTCGGCGTTCTGTTAGAAATTTTTGTGCTTTAATTACCGTTAGCGACGGCCCAAATAATTAGCACTTCAAAAATGGAGGGTTTTGAAGCTATCGAAGCAACTGTCGTAACCTTGTATTATGATAAATTGACAAGCAATCTTGGTTGACATCAGGGTCCTTTGACTGTTTCCTTGGAGGATTTCTAGACAGGGTCATGTCAGTTCAAAAATTCTCCAAAATTTTTTTTGCAGATTTTAAAGTTTGAGAATACGGCAGGATTCTTCAATCTAACGGCTACGCCGGTGTTTCTGGGTTCGGCCGTAACTCGGAAAAAATGGAAATTTTCATTTTTTGAAAAGCTGGATATTATAATATCCAGCCTTGTGTATCCATGTGTCTGTCTGTCTGTCTGTTCATAAATTCCACAAATTCATACTTTTACGTAAACTGCTTGTGCGTTACAATTTTACTAACGTAAAAATTAAATAAGAAATTAAAATACACAATAAAAACCAATAGTGCAGACAGACTCCATATAGCCGAGTCAGGGACAGAGTCCTTTGAGTCAGAGTTCTAAATTTTTCTCCGAATTGACCGACATAATATTACCAAACTCGTTGTGGATAGTTAAATGTTTGTTAGATTTTCTAATATTTGGCAATTTGGCATAAAAACCTTTAACATATTAAATTTCCAAAGCTGGGTGTGCTATCGAGAAGTGGTTTTTATCCCCCAAATACCAAATTTCAGATGGAAATAACAACTTCTAAAAACGTTATGGGTCAGTCTCCAGGGTCACTCTGCTTGCACTTTGCTCACTTTTAACTTCATATTCTTTCATAAGAAGCCATTAAATATCACCGTGCCGGATTTAATGTTTTTAAAGCAATTTATAAAAATCTGGATGGGTCACCCGTCACCCCATAGAGTCGCTACAGATAAAAATTTTACCAATTTCATTCCATATTCTTCCATTAAGACATGTAAGCAACATTTCAGCTGGATATGACGATTTTGAAAAATATTCCGATGCTAACATCCAATCTACGTTGGGCATGATTGGTCAAGTGGTTGGTCGGTGGGGGTCATTTAACTAACAATGCGATGAATCCAGCGGTCTCGCTCCAATTTTGACGAAACCACGAAAATTATGTAGCATTAGATAAATCATTAAACACGTGTTTCAGGATTTTTCATAATACTCACAAGGGAACATACCGAGGTGTCCAACGAGTTAAGGGTCGACACCTATACCAAAATGACCACAATACATGACTTATTAAACAAACTGAAGGAATTTCCGTGTAAAATTCACTTTTCGTCAAGTTGTGACATTCTCAGATTCCATCATACATAATTTTGTTTAAGCTTAAAATTCGTGGGCGTGACGTGGTTTTTTCCCTCGCACAAATTTTTAAATTAACAATTAATTTACAAACCAAATTTTGAATTTGATTTTTCTTTTGCACAATGTAATTGTGTGCAAAAAGGTTCTTTCATTTTTGAAGTCGGGTCAAAATTGGAAAAATTTACAGCATTTAAAAAAATCTTGAATTTGGTCTAAGTGAAGACTTCCGCTAATTTCCTTGTGTGAACAATTTAAAATTTGTCCGGTCAAAACCGGAAAAAACCACTTCATGCCCATGCATTTTAAGTGTAAGCCAAATTCTGATGGAATCCGTAAGCGAGAATCTGCATTTATCTCCCTCGCGAGAAAAATGTCACGCAAAAATGGAAATTCTTGCTCACGGCCTTAAAAGGCCTAAAACTGAAGCACGTACAAACTTTGGGAAAAATGTTAACACGTTGTATGGAATGCCTCGAAACTCGAAAGAATAATAAATAAAAATGTGTACGTAGAAATACTGTCATGCAAAATAGAATAATTAGTCAGCAATTAAGAAATAGGAAAACAATTTAAAAAATTTTCGTCGACCCAGTTATGGCGACACCCCGAGGGTAGATGATCAAATTCATCCTCAGAATAATCAGAATACAACAAAATGTGTAATGCACTTGATATCAAATTTATCGTTAACTACTAAACCCCTGACTCGGGCTTCTGTGCCAGTGATTGGCAAAATCCACCAAATTAGCAAATAATTCAAAATTAATTCGTTGACTGAGTTACGGCCGCACCCTAAGAGGAAACGAATTGATTCATCCTGAGAATACGGCAATTTTTGCTGGGAGAGTTTGATTGTCAAGAAAAATAAAATATTTTATAAACCGTCGTAAAATGACAACGATTTAATTTAATTGCAAATTAAAATAGTTATAAAATAATTGAACTAGAATCGGTATCAAAAATGGTACCTACAAATTTTTCACATGCACTTATGACGTTTTATAGAATATTTTATTTTTCTTGACAACCAAGCTCTCCCAGCAAAAATTGCCATATTCTCAAACTTTAAAATCTGCAAAAAAAATTTTGGAGAATTTTTGAACTGACATGACCCTGTCTAGAAATCCTCCAAGGAAACAGTCAAAGGACCCTGGTTGACATGATACAAGAATTGTAAAGTAATTCACACGAGATGATGAACAAAATTAAAACACTCTCAAAATTAGATCGGGCATAAAAATCTGAAATTTTCAAAGTTCACCCATTTATACAGATCAACCCATCAAACGATGATTCAACGTGTCCGACAGAGACAAATACGGAAAACTCTATTGAACGTTGATGATGAAAGTGAAATCAGTGCTGTAGCAGAATCCAAGAAGATTTATCGAGAAATTAGTCCAAGTAATGTAAAATGTAATTACATGTATTTGGGTATTAAATAACTCACTTCGCTTCTCATAATTCAACTTAAATTATTTACGGCCTTTAATAAAAGGATCCCCTATGCCTGGAGTACCGTTCGGGTTAGAACTGTTTGTTCCAGTTGAAAGAATTCTTGTCCGGTATGATCCTTCCTTGACCTCAGCCTGAGTCTTGCAGTCTAACTAGTTGTTCTTACGTTTTCAGACCACAAGAATTGCCACCACAAGATTACGAAGCGTTCACGGAGCACATGCATTATGACATCATTGATCTCGACACGGGGAAAATTTTTTTCGCCTGGGAAACTGACGTCCATGGCTTTGGGCGTCATAGGGTCTACACTCTCCGAATAGTGGATTTTGCAGGGAGGCCGGTGCTTCAAGTCAATAACATTACTACCTGTCTGACCTCCATTTTCTGGATCTTGCGTTGTTTTGGACAAACTGGAAGGGTGCGTTGGAATATATACAAAAATAAAATATTTTAACAAGTATAAATTTTATGCATCTGGGTTAGCGAGTCAACGTAAACAAACCCGACGGAACTAAACTTAGCGAAGTAATCCAAAAATATTATGGCTGGACGCCAAAGTTTACAGTAAAGAACGAATTTGGGAAACACGTCATGACCATACAAGGACCAAAGGGAGGATATTGCTGCGGCACCTCGTGGCTGATCGACGCCCAATTTCCTATCGTGGATATAGAGACGGGGAACGAGGTCGGACGCATAATTAGAGGGTCAGCCGACCCGTTCGAAAGTGTGGACACTTTTACAATGAATTTTCCTAGAACTTTGAAAGTCGGAGTGAAAGTTGGACTGCTCGGGTCTGCTTTTGCAATAGTGAGGTTAAAGTCAATGAGGGGTCAATGGTCAACATCATTGTTATATAATGTGTTTATCAACGTATTTCTAGAATTCCATGTTTTTCGATCACCCCTCCTCCAATCCCGATATTATTGAAATGTTCCAGGACATGAAACAAAATGATATGCGGCGAGAGCGGTTCAAATCGTATAAAGCGGATTTGGATGCCCTTGGGCTGGACGGTGAGGGATTGCCACGAGGGGAAGAGGAAGTAGCAGCAGCGGCGCTACCAACCCCGGTTAAAGAATCCACGCATAGCACCATTAGTAAATCTCAACAGGCGAAAAATTAATTAATTGTAAAAAAAATCGTATTAATGTCTGAATTTAATGAACTATTACATCGCACAATGATGCGCCCACCTTGGAAATGGGGACACGTCTTTTATCGTCTTAACGCCCGTCATTAATTGAATTAGTCTATCAAACCCTAAACCAAATCCTCCACTAGGAACGCCACCATACTTTCTTAACTCTAAATACCAAGCTAGTGACCGTGTCAACGCTCCAGAGGGGTCTTGACGCGCAAGAGCCCGTTCTAATAGGAGAGGATTCGCTTCCCTCAGACTGCCGCCGCACAACTCTCCAATGGTGGGGACCAGCAGGTCGACAGCTGAGACCTGTTTGGAAACAAATTATTATTCAAATCGTTCTCTCTCGGAGATACAAGTAAGGTTGACCCCGCTTAGATACATACTTTTGAAATATCGTTGACACACTGTCGCATATAGAACGGTTTAATGTGAGAAGGCCAATTAATGACGAAAACTGGCACATTGTTATTAAGTTGTTCAACGAGGAGGAGTTCCTGTTCACGGCTAAGTCCTTTATCAGTTGACACCGCGGAATTCGCCTTGGATTCTAAAATATGTTTGGCCTCCTCAAATGTCATCACTGTGAAGGGATGTTTTAGAATATTTTCGAGTAACCCCTGTAGCAAATTGACACCACAAAAAATTACAACGGATAGCACTAACTAATATATATACTGCATATATCCATACATGTAAACTAACCCGTAATAAAGTATCATTCTCTGTTGCAATGCTCCAATCGTGTCCATTTTCAAACAGAACTTGTGTTATACAAAACTTTACGAGATCCTCCATAATTTCTAAAATGTCTTCAATTTCGTATGCAAAAGCTATTTCGGCCTCGAGCATGTAAAATTCAGACAAGTGGCGAGTAGATTTATTGTTTTCAGCACGAAAAGCGGGCGAAAATGTCCAAACCTTTCCTAGACCACTGTGAATAATAAATTTGTACAAAGCCGGTTTCAATTAATTAACTCGTAACCGCTCACCCCACAGCAGACTCTAAATGGAATTGGCCAGAAACGGAGAGGTAAACTTGTTTGTTAAAGAAAATTTCATCCCGAGGAAGATTAAGATTTTGGATCTGACCCTCCAATTTATTTTCACTCATCATTTCTTTAAGCAGCTCTTCAGAATGAGGTCGAATTGTAAACGTTTCTCCGCCCCCTTCACAATCGTTTGATGTAACAATTGGAGTATGAATGTTGACAAAGTCGTTCTTCTTGAAGAAATCGTAAATTGCTTGCGTGGTAGCGTTGCGAATTCTTAACACTGATCCGAACCTGTGTAATATAAAGCAACAAATTATAATTCAATCGCTACCGCTTTAACGCGAAAATAAAGACCAATATACTTTTTGGTTTTAGGCCGCAAGTTCAAAAACTGTCGAATATGCTCCTGCGTATACTTGGACTTCCCAGCGAATGGATACTCCAGTTGGTCACAGCCTCCAAAAACTTTTATCTCCGATGTTGGGTGCAACTCTAGAAGGGCTGGATTGTTGGGAGACTTTGCCAAAATGCCGTAGACATCGATGGACGTGTGCATATTTAATTCACTCGGTGTATCCTCTGCTTTAACGACGACGGGGAGGTTGTGAAACGATAAGCCATCGCAAATGTCGAGGAAGACAAACTTTTTCTGCTTTCTCAGCCCTTTCACCCAGCCCTGAATACATAGAATAATTTTTAATATTAATTGAAAAATGAAGTAAATGTTAACCTGTAATTATACTTTACAAATTAGGAATTACACTGTGCAATTTACACAACAAATAAAGTATAAATACTTAATTAACTAAAATATTTAAAAGGTAATTACCTGAACACGAACTTTATCTCCTTCCTGACATTTGGTCAAAATTTCCCTCACACTTTTAGCAGGTCGCATATAGTTCTTCTTCCGAAGGGTAGCCACAGTAGTGTCATAGCTAGAACCTTGATTATTAGGGACCCTACTTGTCTGTGGGATCTCAGCTTTTTGACTAGAAAAATTACAACAGCAATACTTTAAACTTAACGATTCACAATTAAAAATCCGTGTCGATTTTGACAGGATAATAGGACTAGGTCGGAAAATTATGGGTCTTAAAAGTGGCATCATTTTTGGATGTAATTATTGTAATTTACAATTTGTAAACACTTAATTTTGTGAAAAACTTCAATCAGTTGTCATTTATTTTGTGTTTTGGCTTTCGTTAAATATGTAAAGTTTGAGCAGCCGGCTCGGCTGGCGCGGGTGAGATTTGAGCACATGTGGAGTTTCACCGCACACCAACTCAATTCACATTGTTGTTTGCCTAATTTTCACTTTTAAACTCTGGAAAGTATCGAAATTTTAATTGTAATTGTTAATTATTTTAAAAATTAAGTGAATGATACGCGAGAAAACGTGCCGATAGAAAGACCAGAGTAAGTTTTCTTATTTAAATTAAGTATTATCAATGAAAATTTATCATCATTATCGAAGAGTATTCGGTCGAGCAAATGTTTGCATTTTTTCAATTTTTACAAATTCAAATTAACATAGATGGCAAAAAGTAAGAAAAAGTCTGGTAATGAGAAGAAGATTGATGAGGAGACAACTTCTCAAGAATCCAGTTCGTTATCGACAAGGACAACTAGTGAAATTGGCGAAATATCAGGATTTAAAGGTAAAGTATGGTAATAATATGGTGAAAGTTAGTTTACGTTAATTTGATTATATTTGCTGTTTTAGTACTTCGGTGGAAAGCCAAACCCGAGAGTGAAGTTATCCGAGAATTTTTTGTCAAAATTCACGATGTTTCCGAACCGACAAGAAGAAAACCTCTAGGAAGGACGCTGCTCATCCTCAATATTCCCCCTTTTGTTTATGAGGTGAGCATTATCTATTATCGCGGATTAAATCTGAATATAATTAACTTTCAAGCGTTAACGTGTGCTAATTTTTGTGCATAATTTGTACTTTGCAGAAGAACATTAGGCAAATGTTTAGCGCATTTGGAAAAATTGACGAAATTTTTCTGCACCAAAAGCCAACGCTCTCAATTCCAAACCAGGCCAACAAGTATTTCCCCTCGGAAAAAGAATTGGTCGACGGGTACAAGGTGGCCTATGTCGTTTTCTCCGATATCAGATCAGTCAAAGAGCTAATACAGATTAAAACTAACGAAATTGAACCATTACTTTTAAATGGTGAAATTCATGCTGGGATGCGAAGTAAGTTATTTATTATAGATATAAATATTATTAATATACTATTTTTAAAAAGTTATGATAAGCATCAGTTGATCAGTATGTTTTCTCTTTAAAGAATGGATCGATGACTACAACTCTCAGATAATTGACCCCGCAGTGCTTGAAGAAGATGTAAAACAGTACATGATTGAATTTGAAAAACAGGAAATACGTCGTAAAGCAGCTGAAAAACAGGCCTCCGAACCAGACGATGAAGGATGGGTGACTGTCACTTCTCAGTAAGTAAACTTGCAGACAGATTGAAAAACTATAAACTATTTATATTACTTCACGTGATAATAAAACTGATTCATATTTTCTGCAGGGGTAAACGAGCTGGAACCAAAAGGACCGAATCCACACAAGAGAAACTGAAAGCGAAAAAGCGACGCATGGAGAAAGCAGTGCTAAATATCACACCTGCCCAAATAAAGGCGACCAAAGCTAAACGTAAGTAAACTTGAATGAAAATGAATGAATTTAAAAAATAAACAGTTTCATTGAAATTATCTTGTTTTTAGAACTGGAAGAGCTCAAGAAGAAGTTTGACGAAGACAAGCAGAAGATCGCGTTATTAAAACAACAACGGAAGTTTAAGCCGTTCTAGTTTATAAATTGTTTTGATTTCGTGACTTTATATGTAGACCAGACTCTCTGTCGTATATGCAATATCTGTACAAAGTTCAAAACGATCATGTTTTAAAAGAATGTTTTTTACATGAATATTTTCACTTTCAGTACTAAAATATACCTTCTTTTTACATTAAAATTATTCCCAGAATGTTAAAAATTGTTCTGGCCTGTATGCATCCATCTGCATAGATATCCTGATTTCGTGCCACGGGAATAAAACGTGTCTTATACTTTATGCAATTCAACTTTGCCGAACGTCTCTCCTGTAATCACCGATTCCTATGCCACGCAAGTATTGCATTGACGATGATGATCTAAATCCAATCATAAAGACCAACCTACTACTGCCAATAATTTACTCGTGAATTCAATTGCGTCAGTGCCGTACAAACCTTGTTTCAATTTCATACCCACCCTTCCACTACTTACTTTGCACTACCAACTGTTAAAAAATGTTAAATTAATGAGGCAACCCAACAACCCAATATGACCGGTCTTTATATCATGATTCAGCTTCTGCTGTCTCTGAAATCTGGAATCGCTCTTCTTTTTATACCAGCAGCATCAGCAGCAAAACTATACGATACTTGTCGGACTAGTTCTTTAGTCGTTTCTCTCATCCTCATTCGTTTCTCTGTGCATGCTAGCTATTTGCTATTGCTTTGCTGCTGCTGCTGCTGCTCGATTTTAGTATCTTCTCACCCATTCGGCTAGTCTCTCTCTCAGTCTGTTTTGTGCCCCAGCAAGAGCAAACCTGGTGTGTGAAGAGCTCGAGAGTTTTTAGTAAATAAAAAGGCTGTGTCTCTTTTTAAAAGGAGAAGATAAGTAAAGTCCGAGTTGAAATCCAATTACCAAGTTTTCTTTACAATCAATTGAAAGGAGACGATACGTGGATTCACTTAAACTTCTTTTACGTGTGTTTACTGTGTGTGCGGTGCCGATAGAAGAGCGGATCATCGCCAAAGCAGAGTTAACTTTAAACTGTATAACATAACCATCTCATATTATTAGAAGGGCGACAGAGTTACAGAATTTTGAGCTTGTTCTCTTGGATTCAGTTATTTTTACAGAGATATTAAAAGATCTGGATTGGATGGATGGTGTGGAAAAAGAGGGGTTGTGTATAACAAGTAAGTTTTTTAAACTTGTATATTATCCATGTTAGTTGGAGTTTTAAGCTCATCTTCACTTCGTAGATATAGTATGGCCCAATTTACTACTAAATAAACTACTCTTCTACTGGTATATATGATATTCAAGAGTTGTGGTTGTGGTTTCATACAATTATTGAGTTTTCTGCTCTTCTACATTATAAATGTAGAGTTTATAGCTAAATGTTTTATAGTTTGGTTTGCTGCATATGCAATAATATGATGTTGTTTAGGGTTAAAGTTGGTTTCAATTAGATAATGTATTTACTGGTTAAATGTGGTGCAGTTGCAAACACAAACACACCCAAACTAACTAAATGTCTTACCAGTTATAGTTAGTCTTGTTAATATCGTCAATCGCACACATATCTGCTGGAATGGAATAATTATTTTTTCCACCAATTCTCGTCCTTGTTTTTTTACCATATTGCTGGGAATGAGTCAGTTAAAACTTATTAAATCAGAGTTTACTCTACTGCAATACTTGGGGCTAGCTATTAATTAACATACCCCGGACAAATATTTTTTTATCCTACCCTACTCATGTTGAGCTCAACAACTGTGGGAAAGGTAATTTTTATTCGTACATCATTCATCATCATATCATAGTACGGGAAGAAATGCAGTTTTTTCAAGTCAAATAACTCGTTTAATACGAGATCAAATATGGATAGTATATGAAATGAAATAAGATTTCCCCTCTAGTAAACTCATTTTATAGTCAATGAATTAAACAATCGAAAACTTTAGCAACTCCATGCTTCCTTGCATCTTCATTTGCCACTACAGATTTGGTTTCTTTAATTTTGCCCTCATATGTCACTGCTTTGTCCGATTCACTTGTGACCGAGGCGCAAGACTTGTGGAAGTCGATTAGTTGTGATGAACTACCTCGCAGTACAATTTCCTCTATTCAATCATCATGGGAAATCCCAATTTTTAATCAAGTATGTTCACGTATCCTGGATTCATCCACCACCCCAATTAATACCGCTAGGATTTTGGCATCTCGGTCAAAAGAGTCAGGTGCATGGTTGCAAGCTTTACCATCCAGGAATTTAGGCACACTTTTAGACGATAATTCCTTTAGGATTGCAATTGGTTTGAGGTTAGGTTTAAAATTGTGTTTCCCCCATAAATGTGTTTGTGGTACACAAATAGATGAACTAGGATTACATGGCCTTTCATGTAAAAAAAAGTGCTGGCAGGCACTCTCGACATACACAATGTAACGACATAATAAAGAGAGCCTTAATTTCTGCAGACATACCAAGCATTAGGGAACCATTAGGGTGTTGTAGGACAGATGGAAAAAGACCGGATGGTCTAACACTAATACCTTACAAACAGGGACGCTCACTAATATGGGACTTTACATGTACAGACACTTTTGCCCCCTCTTATCTCTCTCACACACTTAGACATGCTGGCACAGCAGCAAAACTAGCCGAGACCAAAAAACACAAACTTTACTCTGAACTTGAAAAACAATATATCTTTGTTCCGGTGGCTGTCGAGACATCAGGAGTATGGGGGATGGAAGGGTTGAAGTTCATCCAAGATGTTGGGAGGAGGATGAAGGATGTCACTGGACCAATGTCAACAACTTTTCTCATTCAACGGATCAGTTTGGCAGTTCAACGCGGGAATGCGGCATCAATCATGGGAGCTGTCCCCAGTCAACGAGGATTAGAAGAATTATTTTATATTTTAAATGATAGGTCGTTTTATTTACAAAAATCCTGTAAGGGGCCGCCCACCAACATCGGGTTTTTCCTCTACTCCCCAAGCCAACTAAGTGTATTTCATACTTTATCAATGTTTATGTTAATAAATAATCAGAGCTTTTATAGTCATTTTCATTAATTTATTAAAGTTTCATTAATTTATTAAATTCGCTTTTGGTCCACAGTTTGGAACAGCTTCTATCAATGGCGACAGCAGCCCAATTAGAACCAAATCAGACACCAAAATCTTTTTAGTTTTGATACCGACGGTGAAAAGTACACCGCCGCCGGTTTGTTGGAACAACTCAACTTGCGTCTATCAATTGTCGTAGAAACGTTCCTACGTCAACATTGTTCACGTGACGACTGAACCAAATACATCTTTTGTGGAGAGTATTATTTCTTACGCAAAAGTGAATTTCGCTGGGAATTCGTGCAGAGGAAAAGTAGTAGTGTCGGTTATAGAACGGTTTGGATTACGCCAACTCTTTCAAACTTTGTTGATCAATCAACCATCAGATTCTGATTTAGCTTGAGCAACGGCGACGAGACGAGAAAGGAGAACAAATAACAAGTTGGGCTGACAAAGAAAGAGGGCTCATTCATTTTCCTTGCCGAGGTAGGTATACTTTTACTTTCACTTTCTTCTGATAAACATGTATAAAAATGCATAGCATCGTAAAACACACAACCCTGAAATCTGAACTAACGTAATATGAGAACCTGAGTATCTCGTCCGTGGCCCGTGGTACTAAATTTCTTTATGTGCTGGGTCAAATTTTCATTCGAAATAATAATAAATAATGGTATGAAAGTATTAATAATTGAATCAAATTTCAATCCATCCATACATGCATAGTTTAAAAATGAAGGTTTCATTTTGAGACTTTCATGTCAGACGAGTCGCGGAAGTAAAAAGTTTTGTTTGATCGTTATCTTTCGCAACAGGAGATAGTAATTACTGTAAGTAGCAGAACCCAATCTTTTACGTCACGTACTTCAATACTCCAACACCGGTCACCACCATTATTTTCCAGTTTGTTGATGATGATGACCTGTGATGATGCAAGTATACCACGTTGATCATAGTACAAATTGACGTTGCCGTCTGTCTGTACTCATCTGATCTGTCCTTTACTGACGTTGAGAGTGATCAAAAGTTTATGTATAAGCGCTTATCACATCCATAACTGCACTCGTGCTGTGGTTTATTACTGCTACCTAAAATTGAAGAGATTAAATTGGAAAACTGAATGCTGCATGCATAGAATGAGATCATTTTCCATTGTCTCTCTTTTGCTGGCACTTTGTTACATGGCCTGCTGGGTCTGTAAGCAATGTAATGCGATCAATTTCTATACCATTAATTGTTCTTGACTTGGCTTTAATGGGGAGAACAAAATTTAGAATTTTCATCCCAAATTTCAACCAAGGGCACCACGTTTTCGCTCCCTGCTTGAAAAGTCTCGATCAACCAGGAAGATAACGTCACAGAGTAGGCACGTAATTTGTCAAGATAATCTAATTGTCACCACGTCGCCGCTTTTCCACCTCCCACCACCGCCATACCACCACCACCACAATATATGTACTAGTCTATACAGTTTTTGATCAAACCCACACACATTGCTTTTCCCATTCCATTTCCTATGATTGAATTATCGATGAAGCTATGGCGAGCAGGAGCATGCGGTTTTGTCGAGAGAATATTGCTTTCAACAAAAAATTTTCCTGGAATAGGGAAAAACTTGATAATGCATTTCCAACCGGGTGAAAATAGCGGTAACAAAAAGTTTGGACTGTCGGAGAATATGTTATACTTTTGTACGAGCGAAATACTCAAGTTTCAAATTTCTCCCGGAAAGTTTAAATACGAGCCTCGAGGACTATTTATCAGGACATTGGTTGTATTGCACATAATTCTGAAGTAGGGCATCCAAAATCGGAAAAACCGATTTTCAATTTAACCGAAAACCGGTTTTCGATTTTAAATAAAACACAATTTTAGCTTTTTGGAAACTTTCTATAAAGTCTGGACTAAAACCGGTTTTACCAAAATTTGAAATACCGGAATAATCGAAAACGGGGGTTTTCTAAATCTCCCGATTTTGGATGCCCCATTCCGAACTCGTGTTCATACTTCATTCCTCGTTTCCCAGTTTTGAGGAGATACACATTCCAACTTTTGTTTTACATGGATCGGAGCGAGAAAAGTTTGGAATTGAGTTCCTTTCTGGCTTGGTTTGGGTATTAAACTCAAGTAAAATTGTTTAAGCACTGGAAACTATTTTAAAACACAATATGTCCCGAACAACTGGTGAATATGTTGAAATCGAATTCCGTTCCGGTTGTTTGAATTGAGATGATTAGTTTTTGTCTTTCCTACTTATTTTATACTTTATATTCATTCAACAATAGCTGCATAAAACCAACCAACCAGTAATAGGAAATGTTTTGGAGAAAATTTGAAATCCTATTTATTCAATGAAAGGAGAAGATTGCAAGTAATTAATCCAATAAGTTTGAGAATCATTTTGGTGGAAATATACATAATAACACGAAATTATCAAGTTTCGTTCCTTTTCATGTTTTCTTTCTCTTTCATTTTATGTAGCCAACTTGCTAGCAGACATTCACTTTATTTGCTTCAAGATTAAAGATTAAGACATATAGAGAGTGAGAGAGAGATGCCTCGAGAATGAAAATGCCATTGTTGACGTCACACAAATAGAGCTAGACGACACTCTTGATTCTCATTACATAAAGAGTCTTGTGCCATGCATGCGTAACCTAGGCCATTGTGGTGGTGGTGGGCTGTACATACCTAATTGTACGAAATGACAAGAATAGTTATTATGCATTTTCTCTTCGCTTTCTTATATTCAGACGTATGTACAGAGACACACATACATAGTTTCCACTTTCTCGCATCGTTGGGTTTAGGATGCGATGGGCGAAATGAAATCCAATCAATCCTGCGTCTCTAATACTTGAGGTGATTGGACAGATACAGCCAGGCAGGCTTCCATAAAAATGTTGTTCTCCTGCTGGTGTAATGTCGTCGTAAATGTAAATCTTAAGATGGAGAGAGAAAGTACGTTTCCCTCTCCATCCACCACCACCGCAAAACCGAAGAAAGCTAAAGCTGCCGGTCTGGGATTGTCGTTTCGGGCGGGCATTGACAGCTTATAGCCTTCTGCTGCTGCTGCTCACTGAACCCGGTATTTCTTCTTTCATGATATGCATGGTTGGGTTTTGGTTTTCTTAGAAATGTAAGAACGTGGAGGGAGGAAGGAACAGATTATGTTTTCGGTTTTGCACTACAATCTCTCGTTTAGCGGGGACAAGAAGGTGGAGAAAGTTGTGTGTGGTTGAAATTATATGGACAAAAGAAGATACATAGATGCAGATACAGATGTCAACGATTGGTGGATACAGAACAGAGTAGTATAAAATCGATCCGACAAAGTAAAAGTCCAGCCCAAAATTGTACCGACTTTTTATTTTGCTGGGAGCGAATCGACGCAAAGGGACATGACTTTCCCCTCTTAAAGTAGGGATAAGAAAAAGTATAAAACCGTTGGTTTGGTTTACTAGGTAGGGCTATCGTGGCATCTTTTCTTCTCCATGAGGGACGCTGTTACGTAAAAGTGGAAGAATGCAGGTCCGGTTCTCTGTTTTCTTATGTTCCATTTTTGCATAATAAACTCTGCTCTACTTTCACTCGGGTTTTTATTGCTGTACTGTGCACGCTCGTTCTCATAAAACAGCCCTGCGTTAGTGGGACGTATGCTTCCGTCCGACACAACATTTCTCCAACACTGGGCGTCTCGGTTGTCGGAAATTTTTGTATAATAATATTTTTCTTCCTCTTCTCGGACCTTGTCTAAAAACAACACAGCTTGATTGTCTAAGAATATTTGATGAGGCACGTTGTACCTGAATTTTATTCAGCCGACCGTATGTACAGATATAGTCATGTTACGCAGCTGCTGTTGGCTGACAATTAGACGAGAATAGTGTCAGTAGATGAACAGTATATTTATTACTTGACGACGATGACAACATTCATTTAATGGATAATCCCAGCAGGTAGCATATTAGGTATGTATTGTGGCGCAGAGAAGAAAAGTCCAAGCTACGCACATCAAATCCAGCCATCCATCCACCAAAACCAAATTCATATCAAGTCAAACCTCCGTCATTCGCCTAACAATCCAGCCAACTAATACTGACTGAGCGCTGCACTACACCTGACGAAGAGTGGATTGGATGTTGAGAATTAGAGAGTGAAGGGTATTGATTTGCTTATCGATTACTATACACAAACCTGCTGCTTGCTGCTCCTGGTAATAGTTTATTTTATCAAACCCTGGTAAATGTTTAGCGGCTGGTTGCATGTGACTTATTTTCAGACTCTGCAAGCAACTTTCTCCTGCATGATGATCACTAGAGTTTTTTTTCTCTGCCTGGGACGCTTAATTGTTAGCATTTGTAAATAGAAGAAAAATCATGCCCTAAAAACGTAAAGTGTATTCACGCAGGTGGAAAATTCGTTCAAAGAAAGTAGGCAAAAGAAATGGAGCGTGGCATCAATAAATTGATACAGAGAGGTAGCCGAGTGCTTTGTTGTTAAAATGTTAATTACACGATTGAAAGAACAGCATGTTTTATTCCTGGGCATATCAAAGTATGAATTTTATCGGAGCATTCATTGCAAAAAATCCAGTATGTGTGTTTGGTTTGAAGGGAAATGGGAATGAAAGTACAAAGTATAGACCCTGTTCACAATCATGTCCTGGGTGAATCATGAAAAGAAAATTCTGCTCTTTCCCCATCATCAACTAACACTCAACATGACAATCTATATATCCATCCATATCGAACCATGAGGTGAGGTGAAAGGTGAGGCTGACTTTATTGTGAAAAAAGTGAAAGCTTATAAATTCGCTCGTTCCATGGTACGGCTTTGCTGGTCTGGTCGGCCTCAAATGCCATGTCAAAAAAATGCATTGTTGATCCATGCTGGGGATTTGATGATGGTGGGTAGTACTGGAAAATAGCTCTCTGTCTGTGTGTGCCCAACCCAGCTTGAAATCGAAATGAGAGAGGCAGGCAGGAGAGAGGGAAAAAGTAGGAGGGAAGGGAAAGCATATCAAAGAATGGTTGGTGAGTAAGTACAACGACGACCGAAACTCTGTAAACTCAACTTTCTCCACGGGAAGATCAAGTGGTGACTGTGAAGTATAGCGAGTCAAGTCGAGAGGGAAAGGAGCCAGGTCTGTGAGGTTTGTGGAAAGTGGGATCATTTCATTTTCGTCTTTATTCTCTGTTCTCTCCCTCTTGTTTGTTGTCTATTGAATATTGAATTTACTCCTCAGAACGATTTTATTCCCTCGTATCACGTCAATATATACTCACTCGAATCTAGCAATACGCGACTGGGGGGCAATTGTTTCTTTCCGTGGCTGCACGTGCTGCGTGTTGTTTACGACGTTGTTGAAGAACACTACTATTAGGAAAGTGCTTGTGAAATGAAATAATGAAGTGACTACGGCTTCTGCTGCTGCTACGGGCCAAATTATAGGAGTGTATTTATCATAAAGGATTCATTGTTCT